CTTCTATATCGACGATATTATCTAGGCCTACCTAAAAGAGGAAGAGGCTACTACTAAGGAGGCTATATAAGGCCTATACTAAAGGTATAAGATAACTAGTTTAACGGGGGCATCTGTACCCTAAGGAATACACAGCCCGCGTAGCAGAGTCTTTGGCAGGATCCTTGGCAGGATCCTTGGCAGAGTCTCTAGCTAGCCCTCTTCTTAATCAGATGATCCCTTGGCCCCTGTTCGTCTAGGGAAGAAGGAGGGAAAATTCGGTCTATAAAAGAGGTCTCTTTTCCTCCTTAGCTAGCTGTGACGACCGGTGTTATTCCCAAGGGATAAACCTGTCGAGGGGTTTATGTTGGCAGATACAACAGGGCGTGGTCTGAGCAATGATAAGTATGTCACGTTGGTGATGAGTCGGAGGTCGTAGACCGTAGACTGTAACCAGGTGATCAGAATCAGAGATGAATCGTGATAAAGATCTGTGTTGAAAGCTAGAGAGCTATCTGTCTAAAGAAGTGAAAGTGGGTGGCTATATATACCCGTAGAGACTGTCCTTGGATCATGGGCCTGGCCATGATCCCTAACGTTGGATCGTATGGAGCGCAGTGATCTCGTTGATCCTGGATCACTTGGATCTCTGCGATCCCCTCGATCCCATATCCATTGGATGGTCGTGCCGACCATTTATCCGTTAGACCGTGTCACGTGCTTGACGCGGTCGACCGTCAGCGGCCCAGTGGCCGTGGTCGTAACACTAGCAGACAGCATCTTTATCCATTAGCATCGATATCTTCTTCTATTAGCATTATCTTCTTCTATATCCTCTTTTGCCAATATACCTTTTTGGCCCTCTTTGCCTTTGCCTTGCCCTGCCTAGTGCTTTCTCGTTTCCTTCGTTCCCCTTAGACCCCCTCGTCCTTCGGTATCTAGCTACTGCTATTGCCGTTGGCGTAGGTGTGTCTTTGGGTGTGTGCCGCAGCCACCGTTAAAACTGGTCTCTAGGGCGTGAAGCTTCTGTTTCCCTTTCCCTCTGTCTCTCTCTCTCTCTCTCTCTCTCGAAGAGGAAGAAGATACGAGAAGGGCAGAGCTAAACGAACTGCGCCGGTGCTGCCGCACTTTTCCCGTCGAGATAAGCGCTAGGCAGGGAAAGATTTCACCGACTTTTTTTCTTTTCCCCTAGCCGTTGGCCCAGCCGTTGGCCTAGACCGTTGGCCCAGCCGTTGGCCCAGCCGTTGGCCCAGACCATGGCCCCTGCTCCTGTCCCTGTCCCTTGCCCCTGTCCCGGACGAAGTCCCCTGCCCGGCCGAAGTCCCCTGCCTTAGCCGGAGTCCCTTGCACTAGACGGAACTTTCTTTTTTTAACGAACCGAACTTTCCTCCCCGGCAGGCTCTATCTACGGCAGCTGCTTTAGTTGCAGACGGGGACGTCTGGTCTTTGTTGTGGAGGGAAGACACCTGCGCCAGCAGCAGCAGCGGACATTTTCTGGTTTTTCTTTCTCAGCCTATACGACTAGCAGCTTCCACGGGACCAATAGCTCTACGGGACTGGCAGTCTCTATAGTCCGACAGCTCCTTCGGCCACAGTCTCGACAGCTCCTTCGGCCATAGCCCGACAGCTTCCTTGGCTACAGTCTCGACAGCTCCTTCGGCCACAGCCCGCTAGCTTCCTTAGCTACGGTCTCGACAGCCCCTCGGCTACGGTCTTTTGCAAGCTCTTTCTGCAGCAGTCTTCTTTGGCAGTCTTCTTCTTCGGCAGTCTCTTCTTTCGGCAATCTTCGATAATTTCCTCGGCAGCGCCTCTAGCACGGCAGTCTTCGTCTAGCACGGCAGCTTCCTTTGATTTTATTCCTTCCCGCACGATCAGATGGTTATAACGGCTCCTTCGGCACCAATGGCCCGGACCAACAGCTCCCTTTAGCACCAACGGCCCGGACTAACGGCTCCCCTTTGCACCTATTCTGACCATCCGATTACGCACCTAGAGACTGCAGGCACCCCTCTTTTGCCTTGTTTCCCCCTTTTAGCAGATTTCCCGGCAGACGTCCCGGCAGACGATTTCTTCCTTGGCAGACAGTGCCGACAGACAACCTTTTCCGTCCTAGTAGACGATTTCTTCCTTAGCAGACGTTCCGGCAGATAACTTTTTCTGTCCCGGCAGGCGATTTCCTCTTTAGCAGACGTTCCGGCAGATAACCTTTTCCGTCCCGGCAGGCGATTTCCCCGGCAGACTTCTATTGCAATAGACGACTTTTTTGGCAGACGACTTCCGTGATAGACGACCTTTCCGACAGCAATAATAGCATACGTAAGAGATCCTTCCTTCCACCCTTCCCGGCACGGTCCGCAGCAGCCGACGCGGCAGGCACCTTTAAGCAGTCTTAACGAAAGTGTGAAAAATCCCCCCCTTTTCGAAATACCTAAAATAAATAAGATAAGAACAGCAATCTCCGGTATTCTCCTCCTAGGCATAGGTATTTGCCTAGGTAAAGCTGGCTAGACGTAAAAGTCGCCGGGGGAAAAGAGGGTATGATTTTTGAATTTTGAATGATTTTACTAGGTATTTCTCTTTTCCCTTTTCTTTAAGATTTCTTTCCTCTGCCTTCCTCGTTAGCTTCTTCTTTCCTTTGCCTATAAGGATCTCTTTTTCTTCCCTCTATTGCTATTTCTTACCGTTGGTCTCTGGTTGGCCTATTGGCCCGCTGCTTGGTCTATTCCTTGGTCTCCCGTTGGGCTGTTTCTTGGCTGCTTGGCTGCTTGGCTGCTTGGCTGCTTGGCTGCTTGGCTGCTTAGCTGCTTGGCTGCTTGGCTGCTTGGCTGCTTGTCTGTTTCTTTATTCCTTGGCTGTTGCCTGCCTGCTTGCTTACCTAGCAGACGAGGGCGTCTGTTCTTTGTTGTGGAGGAGTTTGACGGGGGCATCTGTACCCCAAGGAACACACACAGCCCGCGCAGCAGAGTCTTTGGCAGGGTCCTTGGCAGGATCCTTGGCAGAGTCTCTGGCTAGCCCTCTTCTTGATCAGATGATCCCTTGGCCCCTGTTCGTCTAGGGAAGAAGGAGGGAAAATTCGGTCTATAAAAGAGGTCTCTTTTCCTCCTTAGCTAGCAGACAGCATCTTCTTCTATCATCATCATCTTCTTCTATATCCTCTTTTACTAAAATACCTTTTTGGCCCTCTTTGCCTTTGCCTTGCCCTGCCTAGTGCTTTCTCGTTTCCTTCGTCCCCCTTAGACCCCCTCGTCCTTCGGTATCTAGCTGCTGCTATTGCCGTTGGCGTGGGTGTGTCTTTGGGTGTGTGCCGCAGTCACCGTCAAACTAGGCTAAGGGAGCTAAAGTAGTTCCTAGGGATACGAATCCTTTAGAATAGGTCCTAACGGACTATCTAGCTTACCTAGGACGCCTATATCGATAAGGTCGCTTATAAATTCCTCCCTAAATCTCTCGATAAGAAGCTTCCCTCTACGCCTATATTAAACGAAGAGCTTTTGCCTAATCCGTCCTTTTAAGCTAGGGAGTAAGAGAAATACTAATATTAATAGAAGGTAGGCTCCCTGCTTTTTTTTTAGCTATTTCTACTAGACCGGATATCTCTTTTACGGTCTCCCGGCTAGCTAGGCATAACTAGAATCCTAGCCCTAAGTATTAAGAAGTTATAGATAGAGCTATCCTTTATCTTTATTTAACGAGATTATATAGTCTACGCCTAGGAGGGTAGGAAAGAAAGAAATTAGCTGCCGAAATCTTCCTTTATTTAAGCGATTCGTCCTTTACTAATAATTTAGTAAATAGAAAGAGCTTATAGGGGTATATTATATCCCTTTTTAGAGGAACTATTACTTAGAGAGCTTCGAAGTAAGCTACCGTTACGACTTTAAGTACGGAGGCAGAGCTACTAGCTCTTTTAGAAGCGTTAAAAGAAGCGATTTTCCTTAGCCGGCTGTCACGACCCTGGGCGCCAGCGTAGAGCCGCCAGCGCAGAACCTCACCAGTGTCACGTGCCCAAGCAGCATCACGTGCCCACGCGCGACCTCGTGTCTATATAAGGGCCCGCTCGGTCGTGTAGTCTAGTCTTCCTTTCTTGCTCCTTAGCTTTGAGTCTTTGTTCATAGTGCCAATACATCTTTATAGCCGTCAAGGCTCGTATGTGCCTGGCCGTAACACTACTCAAAGCTCAATAAGATCGCTTGCCAGCGATTAAGCAAATAGGCACCGAGCTTTCACGTCACACGCGCCTGACGTAAATCCAGCGCATCCGTTCTGACCGTTCCGACCAAGACCTGACCACCGACCAAGTGATCCTCAAGGCTGAGATCACGTCCGTTCCGACCAAGACTACGCGTGTGTGTAGTCGTCCGACCAACCGTTCCGACCAAGGGATTCGTCCCGTCTGACCTCCGACCGTCCCTGCTCGTGCAGGCATCTGACCGTGATTCCGCGTGGTATCATTTCCGACCCTAGACTCTGACCTCGAGACTATGATATCTGAGGAAGCCCTGCCATCGGATCAGCCTCGCCGTTCCACCCGGCTTGCTGGCCAAGCCACTGAATCCGAAATAGTAGCCATGGCTGCCCCGAGCCCCCAAGACGCTCTCATCCGCGAGATGAGAGAACAGATTGCGGCCTTAACGGCCCGTCTAAATGAACGCTCTCCGTCTGTTGAATCAAATCGACAGCCCCGGGAGCCTCGACTGCTTTTGCCGGCCCAAATGGCCCGGCCTTCCGACCAACAGGCAAAGCTGCCTGGCCTATTTTTGCCCCCTTCCCAGAGGGCAAGAACCCCGAGTACAGCGACGCCGCCAAATCGCGCATCAAGGTCTCCGCGACGTTCTCAGGAAGAAGGACGAGTTCCATTCCTTCATCCTGAGCATAAAGAACAAATTTGACGAAGACGTGCGAACCTTCCGGACTGAGAACAGCCGGATGGTCTGTCTGTATAACCTGCTCGAGGAAAAGCCCGCCGAGCACTTGAAACCCGCTTCTCCTCTGACACTCGACCCTTCTCTGGAGTGGCAGAGATGATCCAAGCCCTTGAGTCCGCCTATGGCAATCCGAATGAGCTTTCCGAGGCTCTTGACCGCCTGCAACGCCTCCAGTTTACCGTGAATTGGAAGACCGACATTGTGGACTTTCTTGCGGAATTTGACTACTTAACTGCGACCGGTCGTGTGCCCGAGGACCAGATGAAGCATACCCTGTGGCAGCACATCCCGGCCAACCTAGATAACAGCCTCTTGACCAAGACCCGCGACGAGTCCGTGACCTACGAGGTTTTCTGTGGGTTCATTAAAGACGCTGTCCACTGCCAGAAGAGGAGTATGAGGCAGACACAGGACTCCCGCTCTTCCGACCGATCTCGCCGCGCGCCGACTAAGACTGCTCCGACTACCGCCAAGACTCCGAACAAGACCGGCTCGACCCTATCACCTCGCGTGATGCTGGCAGAGCCTTGACCGACTATGAGAAAAGGGTCCATTGGGATAATGGCACCTGCTTTATTTGTGGAAAACAGGGCACCTCTCTCGCGAGTGTCCCGACCGCACCCATGCTGTCTCCCGTGTCGCCTCCGTCCCTGTCCCTGCCAACGACTCTGATCAAGATTCGGGAAACGAATAGGACCATCACAAGACTCCTTGATGGTCCCTAAGGTGTCACAGACAGCGAGTAGGTCTAGCAAGTCATTCACTCTGCCAAGTCAAGTCCAAGTGGATGGTGTGAGCCTACCTGCCCGCTCCCTCTGTGATACCGGAGCCGAAACCCGTTTGCTGGTTAGCCCAACCTTCGCCCAGTCCGCCGCCCAAAGACTCGGAGCCCAGATTAAGGAGCTCCCGAGTCGGATTCCTCCAAGACTTCCGTGGAAAGCCAGCCGGCTATATCCAGAAACAGCTGGTCGCCACTTTCGTCATCGATGGCCGTTCGTTCGCAAACGAGACATTTGATATAGCTGAGTGTGGCCATGATATCTTTATCGGTCTTTTCTGGATGCGGGAGAAGCGCCTCCTGCTTGACTGCGCCGCCCGACAGATCATCTGGCCAGATGATCTTCCTGCCCTCGCCAAGTTCTCCCCGACGATCCAGCTCTCTCGTCAAGCCCCGCTCTCGGGTCGGATCGACCCTAAGATCCAGGCCGACGCTGAGAGGCGGAACCGCCTGCTCGAGAAAGAGGAGAAACGCTACCGGATCCTCCACAAGAACTGGGGCCGCTCTGATCAAACTCCTCCGGCCTCTGTCCCGACCCCGTTACCGACTCCGTCTCCGTCGTTTCAGTCCAAGTCTCCGTCTGCCAAGAAGTCTGTCCGTTTTCAGCTCACGACCGCCCCTGCTACCGACTTCGTCTCCGTCGCCTCGATCCAAGCCTCCGAAGATCAAGCCCTGATTAACGCCCTGGTCTGCCAAGTAGAGTCTCACGAGAGATTCGAACAGTGGAACGAACTCGAACCGTTGATGCCCGGGATCCAGTCCAGCTCGAGCCAAGCTCCGGCCTTGACCAGACCGTCCCTAGTGCTCGAACCGTTGCTAAAGTCTCCCGGATCAAAAGACCTACCAGGGACAAAGCATTCCGTTCCTCAGGAGAAGACCCTGAGCATGTTGCTTGTGTCCGTAGTCGTCTACCGCCCCAGCTCACCCATCTAGAGGATTCTTCTCGAAGAAAGAGGCCCACACCCTACCTTCGAGCCGACCCGGTCACGATGTAGTCCTAGAGCTTGAGAAGCCTCTTTCGCCGACAGGACCCCCATCGTACCGCACGCCCGTTAAGTATCTGCCTCTAGAGAAAGAGACTGTCGATCACCTCCGGGAGATAGACTTCATCGAGCCCGATCCGAGTCCGCACGCCGCTTCTGTCCTCTTCGCTCCGAAACCGAACACGACCGCCCGCCGCTTCTGCATCGACTACCGTTGGATGAACGATCATCTTAAAAGTCGCATCACGCCCGCTCCGTCCCTCGAAGGTACTGTTGGTTGCCGTGAAGCTCAACGCTTCACGAAGATCGATGTGATCCAGGCCTTCCACCGTCTCCGCATGGACCCTGACTCGAGTATTTGACCGCCTTTCGCACCCGTTTCGGAACTTTCCGCTGGAAAGTCCTCCCGTTCGGTCTGAAGGTAGGTCCCGCCTGGTTCCAGCAGTTTATCAACGCGCAGCTTCACGATCTCCTCGACCGGTGCGCCAGCGCCTACGCAGATGACGTCCTGATCTACTCGGATAAAGAAGAAGACCACTGGAAAGACTGTCAAGAAGTGATCTGGCGACTCCATCAGGCAAACCTCCAGGAGACATCAAGAAGTCTAGATTTAACGTGACCAAGGTTGACTACCTCGGCGTTCTGCTTGAAGCCGGTGTGGGCCTTAGTGTCGACCCTCGGAAAGTTCGATCGATACAAGACTGGAAGTTTGAGGACCTCCGAGACCGCACCGCGATCCGATCATTCGTTGGCCTATGCAACTTCATCCGTGTTTTCTGCTACCACGCCTCTGGAGTGGCAGAACCCTTGAACCGGTTGCTTAAGAAGGATGTTGCCTTTGTGATGGGCCCGGAGCAACGCGAAGCATTTGATCAACTCAAGCGCCTGGCTATCGAAGCCCCGGTCCTCGCCTTCTTTAGACCAGAACTGCCGACCCGACTGGAGACCGATGCCTCCCGGAATGCCACAGCTGGTGTTCTATGGCAGGAACAGCCTGATCAGACCTGGAAGCCCGTTGGATTCTTCTCTAAGACCATGACCCCGGCCGAGCGAGCCTACCCAATCCAAGATCGAGAGCCTCGCCGTCGTACAGAGTCTAGAGCACTTCTACCCAGAGCTCTTAGGCCAGAAGTTCGATGTGATCACCGATCACGAAGCCTTAGTCCATTTCTCTACGAAGCGCCTGCTCGGTACGACAGATCAGATGGTCCGACTTTCTCGCCCAGTTCGACATCCGTTTCCTCTACCGCCCCGGTCGACTGAACGTAGTCGCCGATGCCCTCTCCAGGAAGACAGCGGAGCTCCCTACCGTAAAGGCCCGGGAAGCCGAGGAACGCACGGTGACCCTGATCCCTCCGGAAAGGCTAGGCTTCGCGACCGACTCTCTAGACCCTACGGCCGCCGGCAACCTGCCCTCAGAACTTTAGTCCCGAACCTAAGCCTACTAGACCATTAGTTCTGAGGGCCACGAGTGCCCTACAGACCCCAGAAGACCGAGGGATACAGCAGACGCCCGATCAAGACCGCCCAGAACTAGACCCGAACTCGGTCCCGAAGGGAGCCGAACTCGTTTCGTTGATCCGCCAAGAGAACCTCCTCCAAGACCTCGGTACCCATGGAACACACCTGGTCGTACCAGCCCAGACCTCAGACAAGCAGACGTTTCTTCAGACCGCGCTCATTCGCGAAGCCCACGAACCCCAGATCTTCGCTCACGCCGGACAGAACAAGGTGATCAAGCTGCTCCAACGAGACTTCTACTGGCCAAGGATGAAGGAGGATATCCGTCGTTATATTCGGAACTGCCACGACTGCCGCCGCAACAAAACCCCTCGAGACAAGACCCCTGGACTGCTCCATCCACTGCCCGTACCGACCTCTGTTTGGGAGCACGTCGAATGTGACGGGAAGGATATGCCGAAAGACCGTTACGGATATGACTATGTTTGGACCTTCGTCTGCAAGCTAAGCCGGATTATCGCCACGCTCCCAGGAAAGAAAAACGATACGGCAGAAGTCTTAGCTAGCCGCTACTTCCGCTACCTCTATCGTTTCTTCGGTATGCCCTCGTATGGATTTCTGACAACGCTGGACAGTTTATTTCGCCTTCCTCGCAGAGATTAACCGGCTCACGGGAACGAAGCATCGTCATGGAAGCTCCTACACCCTCAGACCCAAGGGGTGTAGAAGTCACAAATCAATACCTAGATCAAAAGCTACGATTCTACGTGACGAAGCATCAAGATAACTGGAGTTCCCTGCTGCCCGCCCTCGACTTCGCCCATAACTCGTCTTGGCACTCTTCCATCGACATGGCACCGTTAAAAGTAGCCCTAGGCCGAGATATCCGGAACCCCCTGTCACTGCCCCCGACTGACAAGACCGCTGCCACCGGACCCGCCGCCAGAGCTAGGGAACTTGTGCAGACCGCCCAGGAAACCCAGGAAGACGCCAGGAATGCTGCCACCGCCGCTCAAGAACGTCAGAAGGAACAGGCTAATAGGAAACGACGACCAACCGACTTTGCCATCGGTGACCGAGTTTTTCAGCAGGAAAGGCTTCGCCACGAACGCTCCGACTACTCGGCTAGATAACCAATGGTCAGGTCCGTTCGTAATCCTGGAAGAACGCGGTCATAGCTACGCACTGCAGCTGCCCGAGTCGTACAAAATGAAGAACCTATTCCACGCCGACCGTCTTCGAAAAGCAGCCGATAACCCCTTGCCCCAGCAGATCCAGTCACCTCCGCCACCCGAGGAGATCAACGGAGAACCCGAGTGGGAGGTTGATCAAGTCCAGCAGTCTCGAGTAACCGGTAGGAGTCGACGACTGGAATACCAGGTCTTATGGAAGGATGTGACCTGATGAGACCTGGTACCCGGCTAGGAATTTCCGTAACGCACCAATGGCATTGAAGATTTTCCACGATGAACATCCGGACGCAGCAGGCCCACCCGTCAACCTGCAATACTGGATCGAATGTGCTGCAGCGGAGGAGGGCTGCGAGGAACGAGACGATGACGACACAGCAGAGAAAGCCGTGAAACCAAGAACCCGCCGCCACGACTGACTACCTTGATACGCATATCAAGGCCTTAGACGGGGGGCAGTGTCACGACCCTGGGCGCCAGCGTAGAGCCGCCAGCGCAGAACCTCACCAGTGTCACGTGCCCAAGCAGCATCACGTGCCCACGCGCGACCTCGTGTCTATAAGGGCCCGCTCGGTCGTGTAGTCTAGTCTTCCTTTCTTGCTCCTTAGCTTTGAGTCTTTGTTCATAGTGCCAATACATCTTTATAGCCGTCAAGGCTCGTATGTGCCTGGCCGTAACACCGGCTACTTATATCTTTATAACTATAAATTCCGTCCCCGTTAGCTATAGAATGCAATAATATATAGACTATACGAATTCTTATAAAGGAAAATAGCAAGCTATTAACCTAGCTATAGTATATCGATATCTACTAGTATTAGTTACGCTAAGAGGTCTAAAGGGGACTTATTTCTATTTATTAGGTTCTAATAGTATCGATAAAAGCCAACGGTCTTATAAAGCCCCTATTAAAGTAGAAGCTAGCTATCTTTTTATAGTAAATTAGGCTAGAAGACGTTCGAGAAAAGCTATCCTTAGAGGCCCGCCTTAAGAGTCTACGAGAGGAGCTAATAGCCTATATAAGAAGGTAATATCTATAGCCGAAGAAAAGGAAGAGGTTTTTCCCTTTAAAGGGCCCCCTATTTAATTAGGCTTTTCCCTTCTAAGAAGGCCCCCTTTCTTATAGGACTTTCCCCTCTTTAAGCCCCTATTCCTTAAGTAGGTCTAAAAGAGCCTAGGGACCCGAAAGGGCCCCTACTTTCCTCGAGTAAAGGGAGAAGTATAGAGCTAAGAACCTCCTCTATACGCTTACTAGCCCGAAGCCGTATTAGCTATGCCCTTAAAGGGGCAGGCTATAGCTAAGGGGGTATATCGCGAAGCGTGGCCTAATTTCGTAGTTCTCGGAGATATCCCTTAGCACGAGGGACCTAGGAAGCTAAAAAATAGGTTTTAAAGAAGGAGCTAAAAAGAGGTGCAGAAAGGAGGGTAGGGGCATAAGGGGAAGCAAAAGTAGCGATAGCTTCCTATAGAGGTGGCGAAAGATAAGACGGATATACCGGCAATGGCTAGAAAGGAGGGGAAAAACCGGTAAAAAGCTCGGTAGTTAAAAGGACATTGGTAGCTTCTTTAAGCAGGATCTTCTTTATTAATTAAGATGCTAGACGGGTATAAAGAGGGGCGTTAGATAGAGGAAAGAAGGAGGATTAAGGCAATATAACAATCACTCCCCTACCTTTATTGCTGCTCCCGTAAGAATTAAATCTCTCTACCCTACCTATCCGACCCCTTACTTCTAATTTTACCTTCGTGCATTTTTATGCACTTCTCGCATCTCTCTTCGCGAGAATTCTAGCCTCTTAGGCCTACTCTCTTTAATAGTTTTCTTATAATAAAATTAAAATAAACTCTTTCTTAAAGTTTCTAGATAATTAATAAATTAAGGAGTAGGTATATTATTAGCTATAATAGTAGGGTTTTATCTTTCGACCGTGCTAAGGGGATAGGTTTAGTAGTTAGAGCACTGGGCTATAGATAGCCGAACACGGTTACTTAGCCTTTTCTAACGCGGCTGTACTAGTATTTACTAGCGTGAAACCTAAGCTTTTAATATATTACCCACGTACCCCTTGAAACTAACCGTTTGACCTCTATTATAAGAAGCCTGGTAAACCTTAGCAATGTTAGAGGTTCACTCCATTTTTACTGACTAGTTCATTCAGCTCTGGTAATCCCTGACTCGTCCTATTAGGTGACGTAGGAGTCCTTAATCATTCCAAAGTGCCTTTATATAGAAACGCCTTGCACAGCATTAACGTTAGTTCGAGCAGGGACATCCTTTCTATTTCAAACTTCTTACGCAATTCCAGCGCGACCATACCTGCCGTGAAGCCGCATGCCCTATTCAACATTTCCCGTCTTCCATCATATTACAATGGCGACCTTCAATGTCTTAGCCACTGTCATACTTTTTATTCTCGCCGCCCCTCAACACAGAGTAGAAGCTGAATCTAGCTTTATTCCTACGAGACCTCCCGCCGCGCCGTTAGCTGTCCGCTCTCCTTACCTCAATGTCTGGCTCAACGGCCCTCTGGATAACAGCTCAAGCGGGTATCTACACAGCCAGTGGCCTCGCTTTTGGACGTAAGTGACAATCTCTTCCATGCCACTTTCTCCCGTTTTTCAGTTCAGAACTCAGCAGTGGACGTCTCTGACGAGGTTGTTACCATATAGTGAAGCTGTACAAGGATGGAAGGGGTATGTTAAGGTCGATGGTAGATCCTTCCGCTGGATGGGAGACGCTGCCGACAAGCAAGCCAATGTCGACCAAAAGTCGTTAGAGTATACCTCAACAAAGACTACCTTCACTATGCATGTCGACAGCAAGGTTCAGATGAGCATTAAGTTCTTATCGCCGGTCTATTACGATGACGTGCAACGGCAGTCTATTACATCGTCCTATCTCGAGGTCTCTGTTAAGTCACTTGATGATCAGTCCCACAGCGTCCAAGTATATTGCGACGTTTCAGGAGGTTTGTAATTTTCAATAGTGTCCATATTCTTGCTTGGCCGCCCTAGCTAACAGAATGATATAGAGTGGGCTTCCGGTGACAATCGCGCCATCATTCAGTGGGAGAGCAATTCCACAGAAAAGGTGCGCTACCATAAGTTTTTTCGTCAAGATCAGCAAGTTTTTAAGGACGTCAACGAGATTGCTTCTTGGGGCAATTGGTATTGGGCAACTGGAGATGAAGTGAGTCGAGAGTATCAGATAAGAACACTTTAGAACTCCCCACTGGCGAGTCGCTTACCAATACATTACCGACATATAGCCCGGTCTCAGCTTTCAAATTGGAGTCGACACAGACGTGCGTGGACGTTTCCTGCGTGAGGGACGCCTTACGGGCGAAGTCGATCCGAAGTTTCGAGCCGTCAACGACCAATGGTGAGACTTGGCGTCCCAAACCATTTCGCCCTGCCTATTCCTTCCCCTCTCCGCTTGAGGAATCAAGTTCGTGGCGCTAACTCAGGTGTAGGCCAGTCTTTGCCTATGCACGCGACCTTGGCAATGTTTCCAGAAACTGGACTAACACACTCTTCACTATCGGCTACGCGCAAGAAGATTCAATTCTATTTCAAGGCAAAGAAGATCAGCCTAGGAGCATCCCTTCTCTCTGGAAACAGTCCTTCAACGAGAACAAGCTCGTACCATTTTTTTACAAAGACTATCAGTTTGCAACCCAGCATTCCGATAGTCTTGATAGCCGCATCGCCCAAGACTCGAAAGCTGCCGCCAGCGATAAGTATACGGCTATCACTAGCCTTGCCGTCCGCCAAGTCTTTGGCTCCTTTTGCTTTACAGGGAATAAAACGCAGATCCTTACCTTCGTGAAGGAGATAAGCTCCAACAGCGACATCCAGACAGTTGACGTTATCTTCCCTGCTTTCCCGATTCTACTATACCTTAACCCAGAACTTATCCGTTATATCCTCGACCCGCTCCTAGAGAATACCCGGTCTCATTACCCTAATAACTACGCCCAGGTAAGCGCACATCACATCTCTATACACCTGTAGGCCAGTACGGATGCTGCCAGGAAGAGCGATATTAACGATAGGATTAGCATGACCTTGGGCGATATCCTATTGCTTTAGGTCACCCCAAAGGAGACGATGAGCAAATGCCTTTAGAAGAGTGCGGAAATATGATAATTATGATGCTAGCATATGCGCAAAGGAGGCAGGATAATAGCTATCTCCGCGAGAACTGGGACATGCTAGCAAAGTGGGCCCAATTTCTGGTTCAAGACGCCAAGATTCCTGCGAACCAGCTTTCTACTGACGATTTTGCTGGCCATCTCGCGTAAGCTAAGACTTGAGACGTTGACGATGGCGCTAAAGGCTGACAATGACGATTTACAAGTAACCAAACCAACCTCGCGATTAAGGGCATTATCGCCCTTGAAGCCATGGCAAGGATTGCAGCTCTAACGGATCATCAGAACTCAACCGCCAATTACAGTACGACTGCACATCAGTATCTCGATTTCTGGACGGAGCACGGCATCGACTCTGAGGCCAAGTCTAAACACAGCATGTTGCAATACGACAATCGCGACACACATGGTAAGCAGGGTCCTGATTGAATGGAAAGCCAGTTAAGGAGAAGTAGTAATGGCAGATGGGCTTTCGAAAGACATTCCATGTAGCCGCTGACTGATACGCTACTACTATAGGGCTGCTATACAACTTATTCTCGGATAAGTTGCTCGGCCTCAACTTTGTTCCCCAGTCTATCTATGACATGCAGAGTGACTTCTATCTTGGCGAGCAAAAACGGTTCGGTGTGGACCTTGACACGCGCGGCACGCTCACAAAGCTTGATTGGGAGATGTTTGCTGCCGCTGTGGCTAGCATGGAAACTTGTGGCATGTTCATCAACAAAATTTCTGACTGGATCGGCCGCACAAGCACGTGGCGCGCCTTCACCGATCTTTACGATACGGAAGGCGGTGGGTATCCAGGCGGAATCGAGTTTACGGCACGTCCTGTCCAGGGTGCTGTTTTCTCCCTGCTTGCATTCAATCGAACAACGGGCTGTTACGCATCGAAATCCTCCTCTAGCACAGTAAACGGGATCCTGATACTTGTTTGCCTTCTGCTCACTGTGCCTTGAGGAACGAAAGGCTTCTTCTTGCCTTGAGGAACGAGGAACGAGTGACGGAAGGTTCTTAGGGTTCTTCTTCGGGGAGGAAGAAAAAAAAACGCCGCCATCGATTTTCCCCCGCTAAGTGCCGCCCTTTGATTCGTCGGCTGCTATCCTCTAATTCGTCGCCTGCCGTCCTCTAACTCGTCGGTTGCCGGTATCTTTCCTCCAATTCGTTAGCTGCCGCCCTTTAATTCGTTATCTTCCTCTCCTTTTATTAGTCTAAAAATATATCGTACTCGTTCTCGTTGCCCTCTCTTTAGGTAGCGAAGCGTGGCCTGATTTCGCAGGTCTCGGAGATATCCCTTAGTAAGAGGGTCCTAGGAAGCTAAAAATACCCGGTATAGAAGAAGGAAGAAGGAGTTAAAAGGAGGTATAGAGAAGAGGGTAGGGGCATAAGGGGAAGCAAAAGTAGCGATAGCTTCCTATAGAGGTAGCGAGAGATAAGACGGATATACTAGCAACGGCTAGAAAGGAGGGGGAAAACCGGCAAAAAGCTAGGTAGTTAAGAGGATATTAGTAGCTTCTTTAAGTAGGATCTTCTTTATTAATAAAGATACTAGATAGGTATAAAGAGTAGCGTTAAATAGAGGAAAGAAGGATAATTAAGGCAATATAATAATTACTCCTTAACTATAATTACTACCCTTATAAGAATTTAATATCTTTACCTTACTTATCCGATAACCCCTTACTTTTAATTTTACCTTTATATATTTTTAAATACCTTTTATATCTCTCTTTATAAGAGTTATAAGCTTAGGAGGAATAAAATTCCTATACTTTTTAGTTACTATAAAAAGCGCCTTTCTTATATTACTTATAGCTTCCTTTTACCCCTTTTACTAGAAAAGCTAATTTTTAACTAACCTTTCTACCCCTTCTTTTATAATAATATTAAAAAACGACTTTACTACTCCTATAGTCTATAAGATAATTCTTATAAGCCCTAGGATTAAAATAAGTAAGTAAAGGAGCTATAAGCTTATATAAATAGAACTATTTATAATTTAGTTTTCTTTAATAAGTAGGACCCTTTTAAGCCCCTTATTTATCTTAAGGTAATAAAATTTATAGAGAGAGCTTTCCTCTTTACTAAGCTAACCTCTATATAATAAAGTGCCTTTTCTACTACCTTAGGTAACTATAAGAGTTATTATAAGGAATACTTCTATAAGATAAAGCTACTAACTACTATATATATAGCGATAGTAAAATCCGTTAGTACTATAAAGCTAATCTCTCTTTAAGAGGAAGAGACCCTTAAGTAGTAGCTTTTAAAGCTTAAGACCTTAATAGCTCCTTTAAGGGGCTATATAATAAACCGTATTAAGAAGACTTATATAGTATACTTAAGAGCCTTTTCTACTAGGAACCTACTAGCTTCTTTATAGCTAGCTAAGTAAGAAGAAATCCTTAAGGAAGCTAACTAATACTTCCTTATAAAAGCTTTTTCTAGTTAGTAGCTATAGGATATATCTCTACTAATAAAGCCTATTAGTAATAGTTACTCGACTATTTTTTAAGAAGCTAGCCGGGAACTAGATAAAGAGGCTACTAAAGTATAATAATAAGTAGTCTTATTCCTTTATAGCTAATACTTAACCTAGACGGTTTAACCTACTGCCCCTATAGCTGCTATAGCCCCTATTACTACGGCTACCGCTGCTACTACTGCGGCTGGTGCCCCTTTAGCTCCTCCTCCCTCGAGAGCCTTAATACTATCTTTAACGGCTGCCCTAGTCCCGGCCCCGGCTCCGCCTTTAACTCTAGGCCCGGTCCTATTAGTTAGACCGGCTTAACTAGTCCCCTAATAGACCTTTTAGTCTATTAGTCGAAAAATTAAGGAACTAGTTAAAATCGAACCTCTTTATTAAAATTAGCAATAAAAGGTAAAAAGGGGGGGTTTTTAAGTAAACCTTCTAGATTAAGATAAGGATTCCTTAAAAAGATAAAAAACTAAACGAAATAGATGCTTAGCCTATAAATCCCTAGGCTATTAGTTATTATAATGCTAGTAGGTCTTCGAGGAAAACCGACCTAAAGGATTTAACCTTTTAAAGAGGCTATAAGAAACGATATAACGGTCTCTTAAGGAGGACCCCTTATTATAGAAGAAGATAGATAAGATTTAGGTTACTAAGAAATAGAAACTAACGCTACTACCCTTATTCGAGCTATAAATTTAAGGAAAAATCGTTAGTATAGTAAATCTAGCCTTTATCTTCCTTATAGATTAGTAAGACTACTTATTAAGACCCTCTAACTATCCCCTCCGAAAATTAGCTATCCTTAACTCTAGTACTCCCTTAATATCTATAATATACTCTTACGATTCTAGTCCTTTAAGAAGGTATAGAGGAAACACCTTATTACTAGGGAATTAACTATATAGATAGAGGGATATAGAAGGGTGAATTTTACGATAAAATTACTTAATAGGTTTATATAAATTCTTTAACGAAAAAGGGTAGCTTTTTACCCTCGATTTTTAATAAGCTTAATTTCCTTCCGCTTTCTTTAAGAGGAAGGATTCTTCTAGGATATAACGACTAAGCCTATAAGGCTAGTCTAAAAGAGTTAGACGATTAAGCTTATTAAGGAAAAATTCGGTTAATTTATTCTCGAATTCCGACCTATCCTTAAGAAGGAATCTCTCGAGAAGTTAGCTTTCCCTACTAAGAGGAATAGGTCTATTATAAAGGACCCTCTGCTAGCAGCCTAAGGAGACGGTCTTCTTTAGTACGTATAACTTAGTTACCTTAGCCCCTTAGCTTTATATAAGCTAGGCTAAGAATAGGGCGTACGAATAAGAGGACTAAAGACCGTCGAATATAAATACTATAGCTAAGGAAAGACTAAGAGACTAAATAAACCCCTTTATAGCCGGACTAGCTATATAAGGAAATTTAAGTTAACTAGACCGATATCTCTAAGGATAAGGAAAGCTTCGTTAAGGTAATGTTTTATATAAACGCTTTTTTAAGGATAGTTTTCCCTTATTTCTTATAGACCTACTTAAGTAAGTATAATTAGTCTACCTTCTAAGACTTTCTTAACTAGATAAAATCCTACTTTAGCTATAAGGTAAAGAAGATACGGTCTAATAAAGAGCTATTTATAAAGGATATCTTAAATTAGCTTTAAAAAAGGGATATTTTACCCTTCTTATTAGTACTAAATACCTAGGCCTAGAACGGAGGGGTAGAAAGATTAAGGGGTACTATAGTAAAAGGGGCCTATATAATAAGACTTACTATAAGGCTTCCCTATAACCTTTAAAGAGAAGTTATTAAGACCGCTTATTACCTTTAAAACCGGACCCTTAGGGACCTTAAGGACCCTAGGAAACTAAACTAAAGAATAAACTAGAAATTACCCCTTAAGCTCTTTATAAAAAAGAGGGCCTCGCTAGCTTACCTTTATACCTATAGCTATAAGGCATACGCTATAACTACTAATATATAGCTAAAAAGGAAGAAGAAAAGAAAGCTTAATACTAGAGCCTTTATTAGTTACCTCGTTAGCTATAATTCTATAAATATCTTCTAGATCTAGATTCCTCTTTTATAAAAGGTTATTTTAACTAAGGATATAATTTTCGACGAATCTAGCTTTTTAGATATAAAGAGGAATTAATAGCCCCTCTTACTTTTATAACGTTAGCTAATTTAGAAGATCTAAATCCCCCCTTCTTAATAGTCTTAAAAAGAGGTCTTAGATAAGGAAATAGAAAAAGAAACTAACGTTAAAGTAGTCGAGGATAACGCTAAATTTAAAGAAAAGGAAGCTACTAGATTAAATAATCTTAACGAAGAAGGAGACTATAAGAAAGTAATAGAGCTAGAATACGCCTACCTCCCTACGCCTCCTCTTATATAAGAAGAAGATCTAAAAGTAGCTTTTTTAGTTAGTTTTTTTATCTCGACCCTTAAAGGGGTAGGAAAGTCACCTTTCTTAAAAGATTACCTAGCTGCCTTTTTAGCCCTACTTTAAGAAGTAGAGGAAGGTATAGGTCCTAATACGTTTACTAAAGAAGACTAACCTCTCCCTTATTTCGATTGTTTTTCTAACTTCTATCTAACGCCTATAAAAGATAGTTCCTACTAAGTATTTATAATAGGCCGGCTCTTTAAGCTATAGCTATTAGCAAGGAAGGTATATAAACGAGACCTCCTAGACCTACTAGTAAACTAAAAGTAGCTAGAAAAACACCCCTTTAAAGACTTATTTTTCTAGGCCTAGAAAGACTACCTAGCCTTATATAAAGAGATAGGGTCTTTTAATAAGGTCCTTAAGGAAAAGGTAAGAGGAAAATAGGTCCTTAGCTATAAGTAGGTCTTTATTTATAAGACTAATAAATATAGCTTCCTTTAAAAGTATAAAGCCTAGCTAGTTATTTATAGGAATTAATAGGAAAGTAGGGATCTACCTACTAAGGTAACTACCTTAGTAGGGATCTACCTACTAAGGTAACTACCTTAGTAGGGATATATTTTTAAGCCCTTATAGCTATAGTAGTAGAATTCGACCTTAAACTTAATTAAATAGATATAGTTAACGCTTTTATTAACTACTTACTTAAGGAAGAAAGAGTTATTTATATATAACTTCCTCTTAGTTTCTAATAACTAAGAAAGGTTCTATAGCTTAGGAAAGCTTTATACGGACTATAAAGACTACCCCTTCTTTAGTAATAGTATTTAATAGGTTCCCTTAAAGCCCTAGGCTTTAAAAAAGTCCCTTAGGAACCGTATATAATATAGAAGGGTAAAATTATAGTCTTCTTTTACGTCGATAATATAATTAAGGCCTACCTAAGAGAGGAAGAAGCTACTATAAGGGAGGCTATAAAAGGCCTATAATAAAAATATAAGATAACTAAGCTAAGGGAGCTAAAGTAGGTTTTATAGATTCG